GGAGGTCTCCCCACTGGCTCTGGAGGTGTTCCCAGTATCTCTGGAGGTCTCTCCACTGGTTCTGGAGGTGTCCCCAGTATCTCTGGAGGCCTCCCTAGTGTCTCTGGAGATCTCCCCAGTATTTCTGGAGATGTCCCTACTGTCTCTGGAGGTGTACCCAGTATCTCTGGAGGTGTCCCTACTGTCTCTGGAGGTCTCCCCACTGTTTCTGGAGGTCTCCTCACTGCCTCTAGAGGTCTCCCCAATATCTCTGGAGTTGTCCCTACTGTCTCTAGAGGTCTCCCTAGTGTCTCTGGAAGTCTTCCCACTATCTCTGCAGGTCTTCCTACTGGGTCCGCAAACATCCCAACCATCTCTGGGGATCTTTCCAGAGGTATCACAACCTCCTCTGGAGGTATTTCTGGAAATCTCCCAACTGTCTCTGCAAGTCTCCCGACTATCTCTGGAGGTATTTCTGGAAGTCTTCCAACTCTTTGGGGGGATTTATCTGGATGTTTGTCTCTGTAGGTCTCCCAACTGCCTTCGGGTGTCTCTTTGAAGGTCTCCTAGCTGTCTCTGGGGATTTTTCTGGAAGTCTTCTAGTCACCTCTGCAGATCTCTTAACTGTTTCTACAAGCCTTCTTGCTATTTCTGAGAACCTTCCTGAAAAAATCTCCCAACAGATTCTGTGGTTTATGGGGGTACCTTCTATTTGGGGAGATATTTCTATATTTCGGAATTTTGCCCTCAGTGTCTGAGGATCTTCCTGGGGGTCTTCCAGATATAAGTTCTCTGGGAGCATTTCCAGAATCCCTGGGACTCTCTCTGGAGGGCTCCAGCATTATGAGGTGATCTTTTTTTTTTTTTGGTCTGGCTCTGCAGATGTCTCTGGGTTTCTGTTTATGAGGGTTTCTTCAGTGATTTTCCAATTGGAGCTCTGACTCTTCCTGAGGGTGTCACTGGAGCCTTGACCATAGTCTGACTGTCCCTGGAGGGGTGCAAACAAGTTCCCTCTACCCACCACCCTGAGTTATAGAGCTTGGGCTGGATGTGCTAACACACCCAGGGAGGGGAGCATTTCCATTGGCCCTTCCTCTGGGGACCATGTTCGATGCTCCTGAGCCCTGTTCCAATTTTCTTCCTAGTTCTTAGTCTTTTATCTTTTATCCGTTACCAACCATCATCCTCACTTTTCTGAGATCTGTCCTTCTCTTCCCAGGATCCTCTGGAATGGTAACATCTGGTTCTGGAGTTATCACCACCAGCAGCCCTGAAACTTCTGCATCTGTTCCAACTATCTCTGGAAGTACTTCTTTTACAACAGGTAGAACCAATGGTGCTTCCTTGACTTGTAAGACACTGTCCTTGGTATCAGGGTCATTTCCAAGGATGGTGCTGGTGCCAGTGCCCAATGTCTATTTCTCTCCTAACCTCCAGAACCACCCCTGACTCATGGGGAAAAGGGTAAGGCAGTTCCCATCTATGTTCTGTCCTGAAGTCAATCCCGTGTCATCTGATTGCATCTCTGGGTGCTAAAGGTGGAAGTTCCTCCTTGACCTTCCCCCCAAGCACACAGTCAAGCTGGGCAGTCAGTTTGGGACTGACTGTACATTCCAAAATCGTTCCTATTTTGCCTTGTGTTCTGTCCCTCTTTCGGCTGCAAAAGTTTCATCAAATCCTCTCCCTCCTGTCCTTCTCCATCTTCTTACCACATAGACTCAAATCATTGCTAGCTTGAGGCAGCCAGGTAGCCCAGTGGATATAGTGCTGGATTTGGAGTCAGGAAAACTCGAGTTTAAGTTCCACCTCAGATGCTTATTTAGGTCTGTGACCCTGAGAAAGTCACTTCACTTTTGTTTGTCTCAGTTTCTCCATCTATAAAATGGGATAATAATAGCACTTACCTCAAAGAGTTGTGAGGAACCGATGAGATAATCATATGTATCTAAAGTGCTTTATGGCCCATGAAGTGCTATGAAAATGTTAGGCATCATCATCATTATAATGTAATAAAAACTGGAAGGAATTCTAGAGATAATAATTCAATCCAGGCCCTAGCTAAAGGATGAGTTCCCATTAAGCACATTCCATTGTGGGATAGCTCTAACTGCTGAATTGAGCTGAAATTTGCCACCCTGTAACTTACAACTGTTAGTCCTTGTTCTTTTCTCTGCAGTCACACAGAATAAATCTAATCCATCTTCCCCATGACAGCCTTTCAAATATTTGAATACAGTACAGGGATCACGTCCTTCCCCTTAGTTTCTTTCCTCATCCTTGCCTTTATTTGTAGTAGGGAGAGCTAGGGAGGTCCTTCTCTCTGACAGGGCAGGTGATGGGGAAGGGCACATCGACCTGGTCCTTCTTTTTGTGAGGATTCCGGGAGGAGATAGTAGTGGGACAGTGGTCACTTCTAGGTCTTTTGGTTAAGATTAACTTTGGGGGCAGCTAGGTGGCACAGTGAATAGAGCTCTGGCCTTAGAGACAGGAGGACCTGAGTTCAAATCTGGCCTTAGATGCTTAACACTTACCGGCTGTGTAACCCTGGGCAAGTCACTTAACCCCAATTACCTCACCAAAAAGAAAAAAAGCAAAAGAAAAGAAAGTCTTTTTCTGTTGAGTTTTGTTTCCTCTTTCTGGTGGTTCCTCCTATTGGTTCTAATTCTTCTTTACAACATGACTAATGTGAAAATATGTTTAATAGGAATGTATATGTATAGCCTGAATCAGATTGTGTGCCATCTGGGGGAAGGTGGTGGGGAGGAAGGGGGAGAAAAATTTTAAATTCAAAAGCATAAGGAACTGATTGTTAATAAATCAAAATAAACTAATTAAAAAAAGAATAGGGGCAGCTAGGTGGCGCAGTGGATAGAGCACCGGCCCTGAAGTCAGGAGTACCTGAGTTCAAATCTGTCCTCAGACTAAACACTTGACACTTACTAGCTGTGTGACCCTGGGCAAGTCACTTAACCCCAATTGCCTAAAAAAAAATTAAAAATTAAAAAAAGAATAAGAGGAAAAAAAAGATTAACTTCAAAAACAGAAGGATCAGGCTTAGCCAGTCCCGGGCTTCACATGTAGTAGGTGCTCAATAAATGTTTGTTAAACTTAGTTGGAGAGAAAATGACCTACGCAGAGGCACTTACAAGGGCAATGATAGATTATCATAAAATTAGTTTTAGAATGGAAAAAGATTGCTTCCTCATTTCACGGAGGAGAAAACTGGGACCCAGAGATTGTCCAAGTGGCAGATCTGGGGGCAAGAACTCAGGTCTCCTGACTCCTGGGCAAATGCTCTTTCCATAACACCACTACCTCCATTCAGAGATAAAGAGACACATAGAAACAGAACTAGAGAAATAGAGACAAAGAAAGCTACAGAGACAAGAGACGTCCTGGAGATATTATTGGTAGAAACACACAGAGTGAGGGATGCACAGGGAGACAATGTTCCCATGAGATCAGACATAAACAAAGAGAGACATCAAGGAGACTGACATACACCAGGGATTAACCCACAGAGGACAGTTGAGGGAGGTCCCCTAGAGCCCCTGATCCTTTGAGTAATCTTGTTTTTCTAATCCCCAGTCCAGAGCAATTTCCCAGACTGGGCCATTGTCCTGATCACTCTGGCCGCAGTGATAGTTGTCATCCTCCTGGTATTTGTCTTTTGCAAGGTGAGAGAGCCAGATGGGCTGGACACTTGGTCACTGAGGGAAGTAGGGAGGAGGGAGGCGAGAGCTAAGAGCTTATTTGGAAACTGAATGCCTGGGTCTCATAGGGGAAAGGTGAGAGGGGGTGTTGGGCAATTAGGTCTCTGAGGAAAATGACCCTTGAGGGACAGCTAGGGATTTGGAGATTCTGGGTTGCTGAAGGGAAAGCAGGTTCCAAGAAGACAGTTGGAGGGTGTAGGCTAGAGGGCAAGACTTCTGGGTTAACCCTTTATCCTCCCTCATTTGCCAGGTTTCCCGTCGCCTCCGGCAGAATGTAGACTTGGCCCCTTACTGCCACAACACAGAGAGAGTGGGCCAGAGCCACAACTCCAAATAGGGGTGTGGGGACCAGGACCCTCGAGTTCCTTGCCCTGAGACTTTAGAGATAATCTGAATTCCCCACCATTCATTTCTGCCCAAAACTTCCCCATGTTTTGACTCCTTCACCCACCGTTTTCGCTCCATGGGTGACCATTAGGTGTCTATGCATGCCTGTGGTTGGGGTTTGGGGTCGGGGTTTAAGGAGGCAGGGAGTTGAGCCAGGTGGCCTCTGGCTTTAGATTACTTCAGATGCCTGTTTCTTTTTGACCTGGGAGTATGAGAACCTCCTCAGCTGTCTCCTACCTCGCCCACCAACAAACACTTTTACTTCCATCCAGCCTCCGGAGTGTGAGAAAGCTTCCTACCTCAAAGCCCCAGTCACTTAGGGCAGCTTCACTCGGGGCCTTGGGGCATAAGCCACCTGCTTCACAGTTCACTCACCAGGGAATCCTCTTTGGCTGGCTCCAGGCTGCCCTCTTCTCCTCCACCCTCCTCCTTCCTTCCCTTTTGCTAGCTGGTAATGAATAAACTCTGTACTGAAGTGGCTGGTTAGACCACTTTGTGTGGGAAGGGAGGGAGAGGCCAGCTGAGAGCCTGGAGAGAGCGGATGGATCAGCAGACATCAGCCTCTCCTCCCACTCCTTTCTCTCTTGCTTGTGAAGCTTTTTCAGCTCCACTAAATAAAACACAAACTTTGGAGCCTGTCTTCTGTGTGTTATGTTTCCGTCTGTCTTGTCTGAGCTCAACCCCCTTCGAGAACAGCCATCCTTTTTCTGCCATCCTCCTCTTATGTAATAAGAGGGTTGTGTGCTTCTAGCGATTCTTGAAAGCGGTGGAAGGCTGAAGGGGCAGGGAGTCATCAGCTAGGTCACCTCATTTATTCATTCAACAAATATTTATTAAGCTCTTATTGTGGGCAAAGGATCAGAAACCTGGGTCCCTAGGGAGAATGGGTGCTAACGTGAGGCAACCTAGTCACCTGATCCAAGGCTTGTAGAGCTGAGATTAAGTCCACTTTTATGCCTCAGTTTCCCTGTCTCCCAAGGGCTGGCTGGGAGACAAGATGCTTAAGTTCTGGGGGAGTCCAGTCTTGGGCGGCCTCTTCGGAGCCTCATTAATCTCTTGTTAATCATTCTAATGAGCTGTTCACCTACTCGCCCTCTTCCCACCCAGCCTGGCCCTGCCCAGGGCTTAGTGGCTGGTCATGTTAAACAAGAAGAGAAAACCATGTGTCCAGCTCCCACGACCTATTTGTGACCTCTACACTCTACCTCCATCCCTTCTGGTGCCTGGTACCTAGTTTTTCTCCCCGTACCAGTTACAAGTGTGACTTAGAGGCTGTTTCTTCCTTTTCTGTTTCTGTTTCTCCTCACCTCAAACTTCAACCTCCAACTCCTCAGGAACCCTGATTCACACCTTGCCCACTTCCATTTTCCTGAGGTATTCAATCACCCAGCTAGAACTGGGTGGAGCCCTTTCCTTTCTCCTGGGAGAAAACACGAGGATACCCTGGATATCCTACCCGGAGGAGATAATGGGAGGAGGTGAGGTCCTGAGGGATCCTGGGATCAGACTGAGCTGTCTGAATACCTTGGTGTAGGACACTGAGGAGACAAAGGGAAAATTGGGCTTTGAGGGAAGTAGGTCCAGAGAGGTTCAGAGATACCTTTCCACATGTTTCTGGGTCATGTTTCTTTCATGTCACTGTCTTAAATGTTTTTTTTTAAATATCATTGTTACCTCCCTTGGGCTCTGTTCCCCTCCCTATAGAACCCTTTCTTGTAACAAAGATAAATTTAAGCAAGACGAATCAAAATATTAGCGAAGTCGTACAGCCTACGCCTCATTCCATGTCTACAGCTTACCGCTTTTCTGTTAAGAGCAGAGTCATGCTTCCTGCTGTCAGTCCTTTGAAATGAAGTCAGGGCCATCCATTAATTAGAGTCTTAATGTCCTTAAGGACTGTCTTCTTTTCCATTATTGTGACTCTTGATGATTGTTTTCTTTGCTTCTGCTGACTCTGCCCTGCATTAGTTTAATTAAGTCTTCTCAAGTTTCCTGGAATTCATTTCTTCATTGATTTCTATTTTTTTTTTTTTGGTGAAGTAATTGGGGTTAAGTGACTTGCCTAGAGTCACACAGCTAGTGAGTGTTATGGGTCTGAGGCCGGATTTGAACTCAGGTCCTTCTGACTCCAGGGCCAGTGCTCTATCCACTGTGCAACCTAGCTGCCCCAAGACCTGGGTTTAAGTCCCATCTCTGACACATATGGTTGGTGTGACCTTGGGCAAGGTATTTAACTTTCTGCTGCTCTAGACATCCCTTTAAGACTATAGAAGCAGAGAAGGTACTGCCCTGTAGTGGTAGAGGGAATTTTTTCATCTGGGACTTTCCCATATCAGTGAAATCATAGCTCCAGTCTCTGTTCCAATCACCTCCATTTCCCAGTGTGTCCCCTCAGAGCCACCTTGTATGACAAAGAATTTAAAAAGAACAAAATAGTTTAGCAAAATAACCGATGTTGAAAAAGTCTGACCTCAGTGGTGGTGTTCCATATCCATTGTCCCCCACTTCTGCAAAGAAGGGAGAGAGGTGCCTTCTTAGGCACCTCTTAGGGTTTCTTAGGGGTCAAACTTGGTTATTATAGTTTCATAGCATTCAATTTCAATTGTTTTGTTGTTGCAGAAGATGCTGTTACAAATTTTTTTCCCGTGCACACATGAGACATTTCCTTCAGCCTTTGACTTCCTATCCCCACAGCCTGGGGGCAAGCACATGGAGGGGACTGCTTTCTCCCCTAGGTGTCTTATCTCTATGACTCTCAGCAGGGCACAGCCATGCCAGGCCTTGGTGCCCCTCCCCTTAAGCACTTCTGCGACTAGTATCACTGGGGAACAGCCACCCACTCTCTTTACCTTAGATGTCAGTCTGTCCTCCACCACAGCCTCCTTGCAACTGAATTGGTCCCAGATGCAGTTGCGGTTAGTTCACTCAACATGTTCCTGTCACCTTCTTACCTATTGTCTCTGTCTCTGAAAACCTTTGTATTAGCTAGGCTCTTTTTCTTTAATTGTCTCTGTCACTGAGTGTCAGTTTGTGAGGGTTTCTCTATCTTTGATCTGTTCCCGGACATCTTTGAGTGTTTTCCTCTAAACACCTATAACTTGAAATATTTAAGATCATCTCTCTCTGAATGACTCTGTACAAAGGTGGCTTCTCCACCTCCTTCTCCACTTTCTGCTGCCTGCACTGATACATCTGAGCAACTCCACCCAGGACAGAAATAATGACCATGTGTGAGCAAAGGGTGTGGAGCAGTTCTAGGTGGGGGACAGAGCAGGGAGGGGAGGGGGGAAGTAGAATATGATCATTGGAAAAGGATTAGAATACTAATCTCCACCCAGAAACTAGACATCCAGTTTCCCAGTTTTATTCTCTTTCTCTTACCACTCAATTCTCCTAAATCTATCTCCCACCCAAGTTGTGACCATTCACCCTCCAAGACCCATGCTTGGTCCCTGCAGATACTACCACTCCATCAGGGATCTAAGGTTTCTTCTGGCCTCGTGACGCAGATGCAGGTGCGGTTTCCCCTTATCAGTTGCCCCCTCCCTCTCTGTGTGCTCCCTCTTGGGAGTGGAACAGGAGCGTTTGTTTAAGATTTTAGGCCTCAGAGGGGCCTGGGTCTACTGACGTCAATCCTGGCCTCATATAAGGACCAAGGCTTCTGGCCCTAGGGCCCCAAAACTTGACCTGAGTTCAACAATGGTCCGGATGACCCACCAACTGCTTCTTGCCATCAGCCTCTTCCTCCTTCTAGCTTCTTGGATAGTAGGTAAGGAATTCTAGGAAGATGCAGGAGTGGGGAGTGAGGGTTATGTACATCATTAAGAAGGCACCCTTAGTCTAACTGTTCGTGTGTGGGGACTCAGATGGGACTAGTGGGTGAGGATTTCCTGGAGTCTCACCAGAAATAGAGATTATTGAATAATTAATGGTGGAAGGTAGTGATCTGTCTTTAGAATATTCTGCTTTTTCTACCTCCCCACCAGTCCTCATTTAGGAGACCCAGGTAACCAACTTCTAGTCCATCTTTTCCTCTCTCTTCCCCTCAAATTTCTATTCTCCCCAGGGACCCAGGTATCAAGCCTCCCATCCTCTTTGGGGCAGAGAATTAGTCCAGCAGGCCATGTTAATCCCAGCTCAGTCACCAGTTTGCTGTATGACTATACGGATGTTAATCCCTGTGTTGCCTCTTTCAAAGAGTGGTTGCAATACTCAAATGAGATAATGGGGATGAAAGAGTTTTAGAAAAAAGGAAATCCTCTGTGAATGTAAAGTATTATTTCAATTTATTTGGGAAGGAAGAGATGCATGGCACAGGTCTGTGGAAGATGCCCTCCACAATGGAGATACAAAGAAAGGATTGTGGGGAAGAGGAAGAGTGGGAGAGTTAGGACTGGATCTGGGATTTCCTTCCTCATGCTTGTGCCGGATCCCACAGGTAGTAAGTGTCTGAGGTGTGATGCAAACTCCACATTTTCCCAACTTTAAGACCTGGGTCCTTCTACTTAAGGTCGTAGAACCCAGCTCTGTTATTGGACAAGCATTTAATCTCTCTATGCCACAGTTTCTTCATATGTGCCATGGGAATAATTATACTTTTCCAGGGCAACCCTTCATAAAATGAACCTAGCCAGTGTAATTTTGCTACAGTACCATTAAGATCTGATAAGCAAGCCTATTGGAACTTTACTGTAATATCATTCAATTGGTCACCCCCTTATATTATTCACCTAGAACTTAGTGTCACCTTGTAATGTTGTTTCATCTAAGTTATTTTAAAAGAAACATTCATTTAATTTAGTTTAGAGCATTGTAGAATCATAGTATTTATATTTGGCAGTGACCATAGAGATCATATTGTTTAATTGCACCACTTTACTGATGAGGAAACTGAGGTCCAAGGAGATAAATGACTTGTCTAAGGTCACATACATAGTGAGCATTAGAAGTTTGAATGTGAGTTGTTATCATCCACAACAGTGTTATACAACCCTGGCAACTGCCTAAATGAATACTAGCCTCTGAAAGGTACCAAGGGGACATTTTTCCCTCAGATCAGGAATGGGCACTAACCCATCTTTTAATTAGAATAATCTCTGGGATTATTATTAGTGTTTTAAAAAGGGACTGAATGAATATTAATTGTGAATATTAATTAAGTAAATATTAATAGCTACAAATCACAAATTAATAGTTACAAATATTAGAAGCTACAAGTGAATATTAATAGCTATAAATAGCTACAACACAAATTAATAGCTACAAATACACAGACTTTTCTAGCTCAAACTTTATTTTTTTATGGGAAGAACTTGCATATACCAGCATTGAGAGTGTCTTTGAAGAAGGTTTAGGAAACAAATGACATATCACAAAGAGCATTCTATAAAAGACCGTGTTATTGAAGTCACAGAAGTGACTGAATACAAGAGTACAAGGTCCTACTGCACTCATTTTTTTTGTTATAGTCAAAAAAAGTATTTGATTAAATGATATTTCCCATGAATATGCCAGAATCACTCAAGATCCCTTGAGAGAGCTAGCAACAGAGGAAATGTTTTTCAATAACCCT